TTTATATTCTATGCTGCATATAGTAGATAAAGCTAGTAGCTCAAAAGTACTCCACATCTCTACCCGCTTTGAGTGAATTTGTTTACGAAAGTAAAACGTTTAAGGAGACTTCACTTCTATATTTTTTAGAACTTGAATGACGGCCGCAATGGAAGTTGTATCTACGGGCTCAACAGTGCTGTTTGGTTTTGCCGTTGCTCTAAATTCTTTCTTCATCTATGTAGTAGCCACAAAAGGGCGCAAAAACATTGGTACTTACAAGTATCTAATGATTTCCTTCGCCGTATGCAATATTTTCTATTCAACTGCCGAATTCGCAAGCAAACCGGTGAGTCAATTGAGAGTAGTGTATCAGTCAAACGTTTATTGATGCTAATAAAACTCTTCGAAGGCTGTACTTATCCATAAGAATTCCATGATGGCGTACAGCAGCGGATTTTTCGACCATATAAAGCCATGGGGCTTCCTATCGCTGTGTTTTTTTAAGGGGATGTACGGAATGGAGACAGCCCTTTTGGCTCTACATTTCTTGTATCGTTATGTTATTGTGTGCAGGTATTTCTTATTTCTATGCATAACTCCTTTGGCTAAACTGTCTCTGTGGCTTTCGCAGCTTGGCAGTTTATTCTCGCAATTTTTAAGTTGGATTATTTGTAGGCCAACTCAACAAAAATATTTTGACAAGTTTTACTTTGTTCTGTGGTCTCTTCCGGTTCTTTCATGGGGATTCGTTTATGGTTGCATAACATTCTACTGCTTCGCGCCAACTGAACAGTTCTATAAATTCGTGGAGGAGTCGGTACGTGATAAGTTGAATCGCGAAGTCAGAGAGTTATCGCTATTCTCTATATATACACATGTAAGTCACCTTGATAGGTTCATATGTTCATGTTCAATCGTATGCTCGTTAAGGTAATAAGAATGGACACAACTGTGATTAATTACCCTAACGCCATTGGCCTGCTTTTGATGGTAATCATGATGGTACTTACCTTTGGGGTTATGTTGGTTTGTGGGTTGAAGACAGCAAGAATGTTGCGGAAAACATCTATGAGCGCGAAAATGCTCGACATACAAACGCAACTTCTGAGAGCATTGACTGTGCAGGTGCGTGCTTATGGATCTTTTTAAAATGAAATTAATATAAGTATATATAAATAATAAGAATAAAATATTACATTATATATATATATATATATATATATATATATATATATATATATATATATATATATATATATATA